AAATTTTGGAAAATGGGCGTGGTACCGCCCACTTATGATCACATATATGTATATCGGTAACCGTTCTACCAATTTGTACCAAACTCGGTGTGGTTATTGTGCTTGCCACATGAAAGCAAAGAGTTGAAAATTATTGAAATCGGACTAAAATTACGGCCGCTTTTCATATAACGGTAAATTTCAGAAATGCTTGAAACTTCAATATTTCGAAATTTAAGGACGCTAATTTACTCAAATTTAATACCCCGGCTTACCATCTAGCGGTAGGTTTCGGAAAGGTGAAAAAACATATATTTAATATTTGCGCCGGGTATTTAATGTTCGGCTCCGCCCGAACTTAGACTTTCTTACTTGTTTGTATGAAAAATGAGCAGGAAAGAAAGTTACTCATACGCCACGTACACCTGAGTAACACGCTTTTCTGCTCATATTTAATACAAAAAAATTTTTGCGCATTTTCATTTAACCACTCATTATTTCTTATTTATCCATCGATTTTCTTCATCAGTAGCTTGATAGAAAAACAAATTAACTCGATTTTCGGAATCACCGAGCAATTCTACATAGAAATTGGACAGGTGGCGTCTGGAAAACAAAAACCAAACTAAAATTTGTGATCCAGTGTAATTGAATATGGAAAAAACAGGCACCAAAAATCCGTATACCTTATCGGAAAGCTAAAAATCTGTACACTCAATCCATACAACCATTTTCACCACCGCAAATCCGTACCACTGTAAGGAAAAATCCGTACTTCTGGCAGGACTGAATGTAAATTTCCCTTCTCCAGCGTGGCCCAGGCGCACTGTATGTTTTTGCAATTTTATCTATCGAATTTCTTTAAAAATTGAATTATTTTGAGGATGTTGGCAGAATTAGTTAAAAATAATTATTAAAGTTATTCAAAATCTTTATGTTTTCACATTTTTTACCTTAGAAAATCATTTGCTAGGGTAGTATATGTTATAGAATTGACCGCATTGACCTCTTATAAATTCTTTTCCGGAAAGCATTTTGAATGATATAATGGCGATTTCAAAATTTTCATTTTAAAAGTATTTTGAGGAATAAAAAATATAATCAGTGTACTAGAGCAGTCTTTCGCTGTCGATTATGCCATAAGGCAAAGTTTTGGTAAGGGTAAAAGCCTGCAAGTTTAAGCTCTTTGACATTTTTTTCCTACATGTTTTTACAAGCAGATACTGATAAATAGATATTGAGGTCATGGATCGGAAATCGTAAAGTCCACAGCATTTACCCTAGAACGCATAACCGGGTACCTGTGTGTCCACTAGCAATTTTGAACTGCTGTGGCTAAAGTACCAATACTTCTGATCTAGGAAGATTATATATTTTTGCGTCGTTTGAGTGATCATTTATGAAACTCGGTTCTGTGGTACCGCACCTATAAGCTTCAAAAGTCGACACCTACGCAAACACATAACCTACGTACCTGTGTGTCCACTAGTTTTTATATGAAAAACTTAGCGAGTAACAAGCAGTTCATAGGTTTCGTCGTAAGATTTTTATTAAAAATCTTTAAAAGTACATTAAAAAATGTTTTTCGTTGTTTTTGCTTTTTTGCGTTTCATCTTCTATACGTAGAATAAGCAGAAATGTCCAGCCACTCGCTTTTTCAAACCTATTGATCACCGTTCACCACGCAGTGGTGTGGAAAATTATAATTCTGCATCCGGATCTTGCAGCTCACGACTTCCAGAGTTTACACGAATTAGTAATTGAACACCCATTCGGAAGCGAGCTAATCCGAGAAGTCACACCAGGGTTGTGCGATGGGCTTTAGACGACCATGGCAGGCGTACATAATACTACGATCCCGTCGCGGAATACTGTCGTTCACCTTATTTGACGACCGTCACGCTACAATCCGAATCAAAGCGAGAATTTTCAAGATATGCCCCCGTCACGATAGCAAAATCGTGCTTGGTGATCTCGAAAAATTTCACGACGGAATGTCTGATAACGGACAGAGACTGATCAACTTCGCTAAGGCCCGAAAATGGTAGTTTGGAGTGCTTAATTTCAAAAAGCTCCCTCAAACCACGTGGCTGTCTCCGACATTTTGCGACACGCGAAAGTCACGCTTCCAATGTTTTAGACATTTCGAAGTCCAAAAATCGACTCGGACAACTATCTTGTTGCAAAAAAAATCCGCGCAACCCTTGGTGCTACTTTAGAGGCATTAAATATTTTGATTTGTTAAAATATTTCGTTATGTTATCTTCTGTTACCTTTTGTATGCACTGGAAGATAGCATGTCGTTGTATGCATTCTTCTGTGTATTTACATACTTGAATTTTCGCGGCTAATATATTAACATTCTTAATTGACTAGTGCTCAAACAGTATTAACATTAAAAACTAGCAAGTGGACACACGGGCACCCCGGTTATGTGTTTACGTGGTATTTTTTGGTTATGTTTTCCACAGTTAATGAAGTAAAAGGTTGGAAGAATTGATAGGCCCATAGTCATACTCGTAAGTTAAACCTCTCTCTTGGTAAAATAAAGTTTCACGTTTAGAATAGAATTTTAATTTGTGGCAATCATAGACATTTTAAAAACAGCTTTTTGTTAAGATGAGAGGAGTAGAGTATCCATATGAAGAGAAAAAATTTACTCGGCAATATAAAGAAATATGAGTACGTTAATTAGTTCACTCTGTGTCCGCTGCAGGATTGCGGATTTAGCAAGCCGGGAAGTCGTGGGTTCGAATCCCACTCCCTAAAAAAATTTGTTTACACCTTCTTTTGTTCTTTTAAATATTATGTGAAATACCATAAACAACTACAATTATGTGAAATACCATAAACAAAAAAGGGAATCAAATAAAAATTCAATAAAATAAAATAAAATAATATTTATATTAAAAAAAAGTAATAATACTAAAAAAAATTTGTTTGGAGTGGGGACCGAACCTGGGTGCTTCTGCTTTTACTACTTCAACAGCAAAACAAAACTTAAGGCGCTGGCCCACTGCAGGCTTGCTTTGCACGCCTTACTTACTTTAATTTGCTTTGATTTACTTCAAAAACTCGTTTGGCCAAATGGCGGCTTGGAACGCTGTCAAAGCTACCAGCTTTGTAGTTAAAAAATTAAGATCTGTTCCCTTACACTAAGAATAAATTTCCCACAAAATTCCAGATAACTAAAAAAAAAATACAAACAGTCCTTTCACATTTATTTTTAAATTGATGCGAATTAATTTTTGCATTTCAAAGGAATAATAATAATTATACATTTATAACTATAGATACATTTATTTAAAACAAAAAAAATCCAATTTTTCAAGAGACGACTGACCAGTAGTTTGACATCAAAAATATCCTTAGCTTTGTGTGAAAAGTTGCTAAGTCCACAATTTGTGAAACCTCGTGATATAGGAAGCAAGAGAAATTAAGGATTAAGGTACTTGTTTTATTTTTTCTCGTTTATATTCAATTAAAGGCAAATTTTCTAAGTCCAGAAGAGGCCCCGAAAATCCGATAAGGCCAAAATAATACGAAATCTTTTAATAAAGATCGTATCCTTTTGATTCGTATGGAGTTTTGCTTTGCTTTAAACACGGAAAATGTTATATTCAAAGTTCCTGTAAAATTTATAAAAATGGACTTAGCAACTTTTCAGCCAGCGATATGTTAAATATAAATAAGGAAACATGTAATCATTTTTATTAAACTTTGAATTACTCATATTATATATACATATATTTTTTTAATTACGTAAGCAAATTTTTGTTCACAATTTGAATTCATTTAGAACGGGAACATACCTTTTTGTCAAAAGCCTACAAAATGCTTTCAAATAAAACATTTGCCTATTCGAAACTTTGAGGCGCTTAAAGCAAGTGAAGCAAAGCTGCCATTTGGCCAGCGTTCATACGTTTTAGTATACAATACATTTTGCTTAGCTGCACATCCTTCTTTGCACGAAAAACTTGTGCACCTAACCGAAAAAGGCACTTAAGCGAATTGTCTTTACTACTTCAATGAGGAAGGTATTCGAATCCCTATGAAACCAAATAATGGAGAAGCACCTATCACGTAGAAAATAATGCCTGCGAAATTTTTTTCGAATGGTATCTTATCTATATAACTACATAAATTGATAGCCATTTTCGTTGTTCTGCGATATGAGCAAAATAAATAAAAGCTTGTAAAATTAGGTAATTGTAGGGCCAGTGCAGGTAAACGTAATACTTTCTTTGATAATTGATACTAGTTGCACAATTTTTAAGGCAGGTATCGCCAATGGGCAGGTATGTTGAATGCATCTATCGGAGCACTTTCCTTATAAATGTTAAAAATAATGTCTCAGATGCGCATTTTGGGGTAGGTATCTTAAATGTGCACTTAAGCATAAAGGCAGCAAAGCAAAATATACTGTATTCCAAAAAACTTTTGACAGTTCTCAAAGCGAGGCAAGCAAAGCAAGCCTGCATTGGGCCAATACCTTTAGAACCTCATTTTACCATTTTAAAATCGCGTTCTCCTCATTTTAAAGTTAAAATTCTGTTTTTGTCATAAAATGCATTTTAAGTTGACTATGAAAGAGTTAAAATGATGATTACTCTAAATCGTTAAAAGGTTTTTCTAACTTCTCTATTACTACGGGCCATAGAGTTTAGTGAAAAGACGAAGTTGCCATTTCAGGTCTGGGGGTCAATTCTCGTTCTGTGTTATTGTAAAGTGATAAAAAAAAAACCTTTAAAACCTCATTTATTTCGGTGTGAGTTTGTGAAAATACTTTTAAATTCTTGATAACGCGATAATGCAGAACGAGAGTTGGCCAACTGCACAACCATTATATCTTCTTAATATAAAAATTGTTATGCAAGGAAGTGCATATCACTTACAACAATCTACAGATTTTAAAATTATTTTTTGGCGCTAACAATAATGTAGTTTATTATCAATATTCTACTAAATATGTTTTAGTTAAATGCCAATGATTTTCTTAAATTTCATTCATTTTAATAAAGGTACATGGTCATGGAAAATTTACGCTATATGCTGTACGCATATTACCCACAGACACCAATCTATTTCGGCTACCAGTTGATTCGATATGGCGTGGTGAGTACATACATACATATGTATTTTATCAGTGGCGGATACAGACTTTTTTCAAACAGCATCATTTTCGGGGTTTTCATATTAGCGATTTTAAAATTTTGAACAGAAAAAGTATTTTATAAAGCATGTCCACATTATCGTAATTTACGTCTCATTTGTAATTCATAAACAAATCATGCTGAAATCAAGTAATTATGCCTGTTAAATTTGTCAATAAATGCGAAGTTCAACCAATTTCAAAAACTTCCTATCCAAATTTTAAATTTTTGAATCAGATTTTTTAAAAGTTTTGGGCATGCATTTTTATAGCCAATTTAATTTCGGTATAATAAGGCTCATGTTCGAAGTTGTGCATTTTCTTCGATATAAAAATAAGAGTATTTTAGAACATACATAAGTATTTTGTGTGGATGAAAATGCCAGACACCTCCGCCAAAAAAATTCACAAAAATCAGCACGAATTTTGAGGAACTTAAAATGTTCATTTTGTTCATTTTTGTACTGAAATTGAATGAGCTATAAAAAGTAGTCTCTTTTAGACATTACTTCTAAATGAATGTTTAATTCCGAGCCATATCATTCATTAAAATCAATAAACAGATTATGACAAAATCACTTCGATTTTAAGCGACCAGAATTCGCCAACAAATTTTTTGATTGTATTTTTACATATTTTTAGTAGATATGTACATATGTTTTATGTCGGTTTGGTATTTTGCTTGAAAAGTACTTGGTTTATATGTAACCCGTTATATATAAAAAAATATATATATATTCCGACGATTTGATAACCTCCTCCTGTTTTTGAAGTCGGTTAAAAAACCAATCAGATGGTGTTTTTATAATTTTCAATTCTTATCAGTACTTATGTGCACTGTGCTTACCTTAAAACCATGATAATCATATTAGAAATATAAATTAATAATTAATTAATATTATTAAATCAATCGCATCAAATTTTGATGATAGTTGTTCCCTTGGATTAAAAAATGGCCGCTCAAGACTGTGAAGTAAAACTACAACGTAACTTTTGTTTAGTTAGTGCAAAATTTAATATAAAAACAAGTTTGTTAAATATAAGTCCAATTGTTGATTCTATAAACATAAGTATATATACCTTCTTCCATATGCGAACATATGTACTTTGTATGAAAAAAAATACAGAACACAGTCAACAAAAAAAATTCCAAAAATCAATGGTAAGGCCCAGGTAGTTCAAAGTTGCACTTATATTAAAATTTAATGGTTTAAAAACTAAAAACCAATATTTCTTCTAAAGATGGCGATACAAATTTTCCATAATTTTTGCACACAGTCTGAAATTTGAATTTATGTATATGGTGTTTGTTAAGTAATCAGCTATACTGTTATAAAAATATAATAAACATTACCGACTTCAATTCACATATAAAAATCGATTATCGTTAATTTCTTTATGATCCAATGACCGGATTCAAACCAAATTAGTATGGGACTACCTGTGAGGTAACACCTTTCCTTTAAAAAAATAATTATAGAAAACAGTTAACGTGGTCCAAATTTGTGCGGAAACATACATACATAAAAAAGATATTCCGACGAACTGATAACCTTCTCCTTTTTGTCAAGTCGGTTAAAAATATTTGGTTCACTGTAAATGTAACAGAAGCCTGTGGCATATAAAAATATAAAAACACCATGTCTTTTACGTAACAAGTTATATATAAAATTAAAAGTAATTTTCCGTTTTATTTAAATAAAGTATTCATTAATTAGTTTTACTAATTACTAATTAGTATTTTTTTTATTTTTTTATAAAAATTCAATATATAAAATAAATTTTCCTTTTATGTGTTCTTTCTCAAATTTTTATATGCAAAGTATAAAAATATGCATATCAGGAGAAACGGGGTTTAATCACCTTTACAACGATACCAATTTTTACCACCACGTCTGTATTTTTACTTTTTTTATTATGACTCAGTCTTTTAAAAAAAAGTTGGTTTGGTCCAAGTGCTGCACTGTGAGTAAAACGTGAATTTTTATCCAAATGTAAAAATTTTTTCTTAATATGTTCTTAAGGAGGTTATCCCAATTTAGTGGTCCACTGTGGTCGAAAATATTGATTAAATGGTTTTCGAATTGCGTTACGTTCTGATGAAATGGAAGAAATGTCAGCAGTACTGCTCTCTACCTAGTAGCTTTCGATCTCTCGAGCAATAGTATGTATTTGCATCCAAAGAAGTTGTGTAACTTTTTTCCACCGCAATTGTAACGGGTGATTTTTTAAGAGCTTGATACCTTTTTTTTTAAAAAAAACGCATAAAATTTGCAAAATCTCATCGGTTCTTTATTTGAAACGTTAGATTGGTCCATGACATTTACTTTTTGAAGATAATTTCATTTAAATGTTGACCGCGGCTGCGTCTTAGGTGGTCCATTCGGAAAGTCCAATTTTGGGCAACTTTTTCGAGCATTTCGGCCGGAATAGCCCGAATTTCTTCGGAAANCATTTGGCGGACATTTTCCACACATTCGTAAAAGCATCTGCAAAAAAAATTCAATTAAAAGTAAATAAAATTCATACCTTTTAATACCACTCCTCTTCGACATGCTACAAAAAACGGGTTTAAATAATTACAGTTATTTAAGAAAATATGAACTGAATATAAATCGTGAATTTCTGCTGCTTCCTAGAGCTGAAAAACTATCGACGCTATTCGACAGTTTGAAAAATACGATCGATATTTTCGATAGTATCGTATACTATCAATGGCGGACACAGGTAGGGGAAATTGGGGAAATTTCAATTTTTTTTACCAATTACGACGTGATCAACATTTGCGCCGCTTTACAGCACATAGCTGTTTTTATACACGATTTAAATTTGCTTTTGGCGGTATGGAATCGTATGCAATTTGTAGATAATACTGCCGTTAGGCCTATATACAATGTATAAGAAGTTCAGGACTCGATTAGTGAACTGCCCGTTGCTACTGTTATGTAATGAAAATGGTCAGAAACGTTTTTATTGGATTTTTGTAATAAAAATTAATGCAAAATGGTGAGTGGACACATATTTTGTACAAACCATGAAATTGCCAGGGATGCGAACTGTTTGCGGTCAGCGTATTAACTTGACCCCATTTACTTTTTCAAAGTTTCGATGGGTGATATCCAATGAAAGCTCTTATATACAAGAAATAATTTCAATATAAATATAATTTAATTTTTATTAAATGCTTTCACATTTGTATACATTGTGCAAATTTGCAGAACATTGTAAATTGCATTAAAATGTAAAACTAAGTATTTATCGAGGTAGATTATCATAAAAAGAATGGAAATCTTTGTGTATAAGTATATTGCTTTAACGTTTGAAGGCTGCTGCGTTTAGATTGGTATTTTTTTTGGACCGTCGTACAATAGTTCCGTTTCGTATTGTTGTAATTACAGAGCTCGTTATTATGGCAATGATGTCCACCAGTCGGTATGACGCAACTTTAATTTGACTACACCATTTTTATGAAGCAAACTTCTGATACTGCTTACTGGCGCTTCCCCAGGTTTTTTACCTGCCCTAATAGTTGTAAAAAAAAAATTGTACTCTAAATAATTAATAATATAAGGATGTGAAGGCTTCGCCTGTCGCATACGACTTACATACATACTATGTAGTCCATGGGTGAATACATATATCGGTGGATTGAATACATTTTCTAATGTAGAGTGGACACTGTCTACCTCGTGGTATATGCATAGATATGTATGTATGTATTTATTTGGTTTATAATTATTTTTTTACATCGAAATCAAAGCACACTCATCAGATTCGCCTGCGATCAAAAACAGTTTTAAGCAAGTAAGCGAATACCCGTTTTTTCAGAGTATTTCTCGTACTGCTTGCACATAGCTGTTTTTGGTCAGTTCTAAACCAAAAATATATAAGAGAACGGTAAATGCAGCAATGTGGGCAATAGATAGTGTTAATAAAGTATGCAATAAAAAAATGACAAAAATCACATAGCCGTTTTTGTTGGCGCAACGACGAAATATTACATCTTAAGCGTGAAATTCTAAATATTTTCCTTAGTTCAATTTACCGCGTCACTTATTTAAGTAAAGATCACAAAATTTCAATGCACCGGCACTATCGACTATCGCCCAAAAACAATGGATGTTTTTCCTAAAATAAAACTATACTATCGATAGTTTTGCAGCTCTACCGCTTTCAAACCGACGCGTACTTTTGTAAATTGGGGTTGTCAGCCAATAATAGAGAAACGATAAACCGCTAGAGAAAGCAAAAATTTCTAAAAAATTAATTGTTCAACACAAAGTCTGATGCCATCTTGAGACGTACATAATATACATTTGTATTTATATATCTACTAAAAATATGTAAAAACAAAATCAGAAAATTTGTTGGCGAATTCTGGTCGCTTAAAATCGAAGTGATTTTGTCAAATAGGAAGTGCAGAAGTGTTGGCCATAAAAGTGAAGTGAAAAACTTCGATCGTAGTAAAAACGGCAACACTGCTCTGGGTGCCGAAATATTTTTAAAAAATTTTTATTTATAGAATCAAGATCTTTCAAAGTCCGAAAACTGTCCACTTTACTTTAACAAGACCGATAGTTTTGATTTTTTTTGCACAAGTTTGTTTGCCACTTGGCCTTTTCAAAATTAAGGTTTTACTTAAAGTGGGATAAATATTTTCTTGATAGCTAAACTCTTATTATTCTTATTATAAATGCGAAAGTGACTTTGTTTGCACTGAGCCAAAAGTACAATGATTTTTCAACCAAGTTATTGTTTGGTATTTTCATGATTAATACGCCGCATGCATTGCGATCATTGTGGTTAGAGGATCCTGTCCCATTATCATTCACGCCTGTTGATAATTAAATAATGTTATATTTTCAACGTAATTAATGACATAATCGATTGCCCAATTCTACTTGAGCAGATTAGCTTTAATGTTCTGCAAAGAAGTCTGCATAATTTCCATCCTTTTTTATGT